ACCTTGGTACTGTATCAGGATAAAATCAAGGAATGTCATTGACTCTAAGACATCAGTATCATTTTCATGAATAAATTCAAGGCACATACCTAAGCTTTGTACCCGTTCAGGATAAAACTAAAGCACATCTCTAACTTGGTCAACTCTAACTCATAAGACCTTGGTACACTTTCAGAATAAAACCAAGGCATGAAGCCGAGTCATCTCGATGCATGAGTGTCTAATGGCATGCTCCAAGCATTGTCATGCACTCTACACACCCCTAAAACGTGAGGCCGAACTTGTACTTAGTCAAAGTAGATTACTTAAACACATAAGAATGCAATCACAAAGGTACACAGTTCAATTTGACAAAAGTGATTTTTCTTTCATTCATATACTCAAAATACTTACAATACAAGAAGTATTTAAAAAAAGAAAAAAAAATACATATGAGCCCCCATGGGGCCGAACCCAAAGTGGGCGCAAAACTTGAAACTAGAGCAATACTGGAAGTTAGAGCAGATTTGGGAGGAGTGGAAACAGTGGAAGTCGGTGGGGGGAGATGACCGAGGCTCAAAGCCGACCTCTTCATCCCCTTCCTCTTTAGACTAGCTCACCCAACTATCATGTGCCAAGCCCTCATTTGTTCCATGAGCTAACTCTTCATCATGATCATCCCCACTCTCGGCATTGAGCATAAGCCCCCTCCTTTCCTTTCTATCTCCTGCAGAACGCTAAGGTAATTAGTCACTCGAGGAGGATACCAGAATCGCTCCGGGCAGTCTTGAGCTCGGCCAGAAGCTGCATCTTCAGATAGTCAACCTAGCCTTACAAGCGAGGGCCACCTCCACTCTCCTAGGAGTGCCGTTGCAATAGTTCTCAAAACCGCAAATCGGTAGGCCTTGAAGTCCAAATGGTTGAGGTGACCTTGCATTGCCTATATCTCAGCAAGAGATGACTCACATTGTCGTTTGGCCTCCAATGCAACTCGGGTGGCCTCCTACCTCAACTTTGCGTGAGTAGCCTCCTCCTCCTTCAACCAGTCTTGTAGGTCCTCAGCATTCTGACGAGCCAACAGAGCTCGTTCAAAGACATCAACGCTTTCCTGCCTCTTGACCTTGCCCTCTTCAATCAAATATTTTATCCTGTCATCTTGCTCACGAAGCTTGTGCTCGAGATGACTGAGGTCTTCCTAGCGCTTGCTGATTTGGGATGACTTTTTGCTGTTTAATCCCTTCATGCCCTTAATTATGGCATCTCGCATCTCTAGCTCCCTAGGCTATTTGCCCTTGCTCCTCCTCCGGACTACCAGCTCATCCTCATTGGCAATCACACTCTTTTCGGTAGCCTCCCGAGCTACCCTCTGAGCCTCCACCTCTTCTTGGAGCTTGAGGTATAGGTCCCGCACATTCTCAATCTAAGCATACAGTTTCTGCTCTAACAAAGCTCCTAGAAGCATGTAGTTCTTGAGGGACTAGTGAATGCCAATATCTAGGATGGCCAAGAGGATCTCATCATCCCAAGGTAGGAAAATTTGCTTCAAAGCCCTACACTAAGAAAGCCTGGACTCCAGAACTGACCCTCTTTTGTCAAGATGCTGCCTAGGGATGAATCTAAATTCCTTAGACAGCTCTTTATCGTAACGGGGGGCGACTCTAGACAACCCTATCAGCAGCATCTTCAATTCACCCTATGCCTTTACGTCAAGCTCATTGATGTGATGGGAAAAGGACCATCCAAACCCTCGAGCAAGGAATGTCTCATATGCAATTGGCTCCTTCCCCTGTCGATGAGTTGACTCAGTAGGCATGATAAGGTCTATCTCTTTCTCCACTTGGGCCTCGGCCGCTTCGGACTCAGTCGTGATGATCTAGGTTCCCTTTTCTCCTGCAGGGGACCCATCGTCAATAGTGACAACATATGAAGGCTTAGCTCGAGAAGCCTCTGGATGGGGGATAGTGGAAGCATCACTTTTTGTAGCTTCCTGAGGAGGCAGGATCTCACCTGACGGCTAACTC